CCCTCTAGCTCGTGCAGGCACCTCTTCGTGGTGCTAGGGACCAGTATTCGAGTATCAAGAGTACTCGAAGAAGCCAAGACCTGCACACCATCTTGATGACGTATGATGTGTTTCGAATGATGATCATTGGAGGAACAAAATGAGCCCCAGATAGAAACGATCCAATATCAGAATCGTAACTTCATGATCCAACCTTCGTTAGCGAGTGCCGTATTCCCAACCCTCCTGTCTTCATGTTTTGCGGTCGGCTAGTGTTCCCGCCGCAATAGAATGAATCTGCGTCAGAGCGTAGAGCGAATAGAGACTTGAGTGTTTGGGTGCGTCGCGGATGTGTTGATGAGTATTGATGAGTATTGATGAGCGTTGATGGTCGTTGATGAACGTTGATGATTGTTGAGGGTTGTTGGTGAACATTGACGGTCGTTGGTGAACATTGACGGTCGTTGATGGGTGTTGATGAACGTTGATGGTCGTTGACGATAGTATGGACGAGGGTGTTGATGTATGTATTGTGGTATATGGCCAGGCGGCGAAGTTGAGTGATCGTCACTAGACTTCAGCAAAGCCCGACCAAGCCCATTCCTATGCACACAACTACGGTAACTATTGGCATTCATAACCCTGCTCATTAACGTCTGTTTTTTATGCATGTTCTAGTCTGCAAGCTCGGACCTCGGCCCGACGTTTTCCCCGGCCCAATCCAGGGGTTCAACTCCCAACCCGGGGGTTCAATTACCCCAAGAAGCAAGATATCAAGATTCAGCGGCAACCACCCAGTAATAAAAGCCAAGGGAAACAACGGCTACGCTATGGACCCGATTGCATAGAAATTACCAAGAAAAAGTCGAATTTGACTGGCATTTTGTACTATTCTTACGCTTGATTAATTCGTGAGCGTCAACACATAGATATATATATTTCATATAGCCAAAAGTGGTTGTATCTTCCTGTTCAAGTATGACACTTTCATCGGTGGAACTCCTCCTTTGTAGGCTTATAGGATTCAATTTCATGCCGAAAGCTAGCTAATTTCTCACAATGAGTGTCTGTTTCCATAGATAATTGATACTGGGAAAATCTGCATTTTTATGCAAATGCCAAGAATTGGCATGTCTGTATTGTTTTCGGCCCGTAGCCCATCTGCGGGTTGGGGTCGGGTTGGGCTGTTTGGGCCGGTTCGGAAATCTACATATGACAGAGATTACAGTTTCATCGTTTCATTCTGCACCATTTGGCATCGCTTGCTACGATGGTCCCCTGGTGTTTACTCAGTAAAGTTCGCACACAGCCATCGGGTCTAGCAAGCCCCAGTTTGACAAGACCAGGTGAAGACGACTCCATCATTATTTACGACAGACTGTCGTGAGGATGCCATCAGCGCAAGTGGCACCTGAGTTAACCTCTGATTGCAGCAGTTACACGCCTAAACCATTCCTCCAAGGGCGAACATGACATGAGCGCTGATTAGGCGTAGAGCATACAGGATAGGTTGTCAGAGGTCGCACAGCAAGATGGGTCTTGGTAGTGTCGTTACGGACATCAATGCCACCTTCACAAAAGACCTGCTTGAACAGTGATATGCCAAAGAACATCCATGGCGTGGTGAGTTTGACAAATATATACCTGATGCTCAAGGACAGTCGACGTAGAGGAAGCAGAGAATCTGGCCATTTCCTGGCAAGACATGCTTTCGCGTGATATACTAGAGCACGATACCAGTGAAATATGACGCACGCGCTCAGCTTGACTACGCTGCAGCTGCAGTGACACCCAGGGTAAATGAGTGACACCCAGGGTAAATGGCCTTTGCACACCCATCAATTCCACGAAGCATCTGTCCAAAGGCACCACAGCATTTCTGACAGTGCCCTTGATGCAGCGTCGTGTATGTCCAGTTTGTTCCTTTTCGCTCGTTCGTTTCCATTTAGTAGGTTCCATCCGCTTGAATACGTCTAACGGCTCAGCAAGGCAGAGTACGATCAGGTGAATCAGTGTCGGTCGGTGATTCCTAGCTCGTGGCTCTTGAGTCGGCTCGGCTGTGACTCGGGACTAGATGGTCTCCTTTTCTCGACTCGTACCTGATATGGTAATGGTAACCTCGATATGACGGGGCCTTTGTCTCACCTTCTCCTTGCACGCGATTTGGACCAAAAATCCGGCCGTCTGCAAAGGTATGGCTCACCTGCCATCAAACAAGAGAGACCACCAGCATTGCTCGGGTCTTTTGGAGTTTCGGGACTGAAAAGAAGCGAGATGCCAACCGAGGACAATGAGAATCACCCAATGGACGCCAGTAATTCGATCCACAAGTAGGCTATTCTTTCGCGGTATTGGAATGCCTTGACACGGTGGCATAAACCCATTATGGCTTGGGCTTTGCATCGGGTAGACATATCAGCACATGACTGATGTACAGAGTCCCCTGAGAGAAGGGCCGAGGTTTACGATCTGATCCTTACACTGACTCATCGTCGATGCCACGAGTAGTGAGATGGAACGGATAGACAGCATGCGATCGCATCGGCATAGGGAAGCTCGAGCAGAGAAAACGAGGGCGTCCTGTTGTACGATACGAGTCAGCAAGGCTTACCACTTGGACGAGTTGTTATGACTTACCCTTCATAGAGTTCGCAGAGGGCACGCTTTGTACGCTTGAGACAAGACGATCAGTGAACTTCGTGGTCTATGAAGTTGCCAACTAGATCACTTACAATCCTCTTCGGCAAGGCAATGCAGCACCATTCATGCCATGTTGTGTTCTGGTTCATCGCACCCTCCGGCCGTTGCTTCCAAAAGGCCGGGCTGTGGACAAATCCACCAGCATTCCTCGGTCTTTGGAGTTCCAAGACTGAAAAGACGCGAGATGCCAACCGAGGACAATGGGGATCACCCATTGGACGCCAGGAATTCGATCCACAAGGAGGCTGTTCTTTCACCATGTTCGAATGCCGACACACAGCACACGACCTGCTGCACAGAGTCGATGAAGAGAACGCCCGAGGTAGACGATCTGAACCTTACACTGACTCATCGTCGATGCCACCGGTGGTCATGAGGAAGGGGCAGATAGCTTGCGATCGCATCGGTATAGGAGAGCTCAAGCAGACAAGATATCTCGCTTCGCATTCGACTCGAGTGACGGGAATAAGAGGGGCGCTGTTGTGCGATCCGAGTCAGCAAGGCTTACCACTTGGACGAGATTTTATAACTTACCTGTTCATAAAGTTCGCAGAACGTTCGCTTGAGACGAAACGATCAATGAGCTTCGTGGTCATATCTTACCGACGAGATCACTTACAATTGTCTTCATCAATGCAGTCACCATTCATGCCATTTGACATGATGCTGTATCCACTTCGTCGCACTCTCCGGCTGTCGCTTCGAATAAGCTGCGCTGGGTGCACCGGGCAACTTCTAAGAGCCAAAGGCGCGTGACAAAGTAACTGTGACAGGAAGTTGTACAGTCGCAATGGGATAAGACCTCGCGATGGGGACGGCGAGAGGTTCATACACTCTGCCGTTCATGGTGAGGGCGGTGAAGTTGAGGCAGAAGACGCGATGGATCACGCGTCGTAGTGACGCCTTGGTCTTATCTCCGATGCGGCGATAGAACTCCCAACAGGTATTTTTCACAGTGGCGATGGGCTGCTCCTATGTACAATGGCATGAAAATTAGTAATGATGTTGGTGTTCTGGGGCACAAAAACTCTCACAATAAATGATATAGCGCAGCAGAGGACGCGATAAATCACTCACATTGCCAGGAAGAATGGACATTTCAAGCTTCTATTCAGCGAAGCTCGCAATCGAATATTCGCACCTTTATTTGGTCGCTGCTTTGATTCATACGCTCCAGCTAGGGTATGGTGGGTGGTCTGAAGCGACGGGGCCAAGAACAGGGTGTAGGCAGTGGCTTTGTGTAGAGCACTAACGGGGCTGGGCCCCAGGATGGTTTGGCGGGAGCGCGCAACGAGAGGAGTTCGGATTTGTGAGCTTGGTTTGGGGGGATTTGACCGTCGTGGATCGGAACGGTCTTTTGTTTGATCGGAGATTCAGCGTCCTACGTGGGCGCGCACCAGTCGTTGAGCTTTAAATCTTTCTGTCTCGGAAAAGGTTGCTGTATTCTCGAGGACCTCTGGTGCGATGTCAATGTTCACCATCGTTCATTAGCTTATAGATCGGCGACATAACCCATGACTCACATTTTCTGGTGGCCAAGCCTAGGTATGAAGAAC